CCCCAACACCCAGTGTGCCTCATCCTCTCCCCCTGCTCTCATTCTTCCAACCTTGTCCATTCTGGGCACACTTTTGCTAGTCTCTATTTTAAACTCCAGACCAGACCAGAGTGATTCATTCCAGGGACCTCTATTGATTTGCTGGATGTAAATGATTTCCTTTGTGTATTGATTTCTATTGGCTTCATCTCCAACACAGGAAAGGATCATAGTGAAGAATCCGCCTGACAGTCACATGACTCCTGTGTCCCAAAGTCGGAGCAGGAAACAGAGCGCCATGTTGGACCCTCCACCGTCCTCCCTGACACCTGAGAGAAGCGACAAGAAGATTCTAGAAGTCATCAGAGAAATCATTACGCTGCTGACGGGAGAGGTGAGCAGTGCCGGGAATTCTGGGACATGATCCAGGAACAGACAAGGGATGTGTCTGGATGGTGACTGTATCATTGTGTGTGTCAGGTTCCTATAAGGTGTCAGGATGTCTCTGTCTATTTCTCCATGGAGGAGTGGGAGTATCTAGAAGGACACAAGGATCTCTACAAGGACGCCATGATGGAGAACTGGCCGCCCCTCACATCACCGGGTAAGAGGAGACTTTCATTTCTTGAGTATTGAGGATCCCCCTAGATACACACATCCTCTGATATAAAGACATAGAAACAATGTATTCAGTCAGTGTGTGTGTTTCCTACAGATGGATCCAGGAACAGAAATACCCCAGAGAGATGTCCCCGTCCTCTGTATTCCCGGGACTCCACACAGGAACATCATGAGATCCCTCAGACCCGTCCTCTGTATTCCCGGGACTCCACACAGGAACATCAGGAGATCCCTCAGACCCGTCCTCTGTATTCCCGGGATTCCACACAGGAACATCAGGAGATCCCTCAGACGCGTCCTCTGTATTCCCGGGACTCCACACAGGAACATCAGGAGATCCCTCAGACCTGTGCTCTGTATTCCCGGGACTCCACACAGGAACCTCAGGAGATCCCTCAGACCCGTCCTATGTATTCCCGGGACTCCACACAGGAACATCAGGAGATCCCTCAGACCCGTCCTCTGGATTCCCGGGACTCCACACAGGAACCTCAGGAGATCCCTCAGACCCGTCCTCTGGATTCCCGGGACTCCACACAGGCACATCAGGAGATCCCTCAGACCCATCCTATGTATTGCCGGGATTCCACACAGGAACATCAGGCGATCCCTCAGGCCCGTCCTCTGTCTTCCCGGGACTCCACACAGGAACCTCAGGAGATCCCTCAGACCCGTCCTCTGGATTCCCGGGACTCCACACAGGAACATCAGGAGATCCCTCATACCCATCCTATGTATTGCCGGGATTCCACACAGGAACATCAGGCGATCCCTCAGGCCCGTCCTCTGTATTCCCGGGACTCCACACAGGAACATCAGGAGATCCCTCAGACCCGTCCTCTCTATTCCCGGGACTCCACACAGGAACTTCAGGAGATCCCTGAGACCCGTCCTCTGTATTCCCGGGACTCCACACAGGAACATCAGGAGATGCCTCAGACCCGTCCTCTGTATTCCCGGGACTCCACACAGGAACATCAGGAGATCCCTCAGGGGGATCAGGTAGGAAGAACAGAGAGTCCTAATGAAAGCTGATTTGATGCTTTATCTTTAAGCGTATCTAAATCCTAAAAATAAGTATATTATATTGCAGATTTCTGCTCCTCAGATGAAGCGGCTGCATTAGTTTTCTCTTTGAGGCTTTATTTTCATCTGGTAGTCCTGACACTGAAATGCTTCTTGTTCCTGAGTGGCTACATTCACTCCTCCACTGTATCTATGGAGGAAGCCATGCGTGTCACCCAGGCTGGACTATGAATTGGCCTTTGTTCGTTTCCATTAGGCCCCATTCACACTGAGCGACATGAAAATCGCGCGATATTGAGCAATATTGCGAGACGAGCGATATTGAGCGACTTGTCGCGCGACGTTTTCCTATTGGGCTGTATGCAATCAGGAGCGAAATCGCTTGAAAAAAGGGTCATGTAGGAGCGACAAGCTACCAGCGACGAGCTACTAGCGATATTGAGCGACGAGATGTGAACAGCTCCATTGAAATGGATTGGAGAAGCTACATAGAGCGATATCGCGTGGAAATATGAGCGATATCGCTGCAAAAATCGTTTGATAAATCGCTCAGTGTGAATGGGGCCTTAAGGCCTCGTTCACATTGAGCGATTTATCGCGCGGTAATTCCCGCGATATCGCGGCAAATTACCGCGCGATATCGCTCTCCAATGCTTCTCAATGGGGCACAGGGTCCTGCTGTCGCGGGTCGTGTGTCGCTACAGCAGGACCCTTTTCGGAGCAGATTTAGCCGCGATTCAAATGCTTTCAATGCAAGCATTTGCGCGATATCGCGTGGCAAATCTCGCGATATCGCGCAAAATGCAAATCGCGCGACAAACGCGCGATTTGCATATCGCGGAGTGTGAATGGGGCCTTAAAGGGAGGTTATGGGTTTAGTAGAAGGGAAGGAAAGATGAGCTTGTTCTTTGCTTCCTCCTCCTCTCTCAGGAAGTGGCGAGGACACAACAGTTCTGGCAACAACAATCCTCTGTACTGGCTGAAGGTGTTCTTAGCCTGGAAGCTGAAAACGAATGCCGCCGCCACATCTGAGGACTCGGAAGCTGCAGCATGTTCCATTATTGTTCTGTATATCACAAGGCTGATGACGTTGTAAATAACTTAATGTGTCTTCTCCAGGCTGACAACCTGATTTTCATTAAAATTGATGATAAGGAGACACTTGTGATGGATGATTGATGTAAGGAGGAGGAACGTTCTCCAAAGATGAGCACAGGTGAGTAATAAACACTAAACCCAGAGAAGAGTCCCAGATTCTCCTTGTTCAGTCACTACAACAATCTCTTCTTCTCCCCCCTCCCCTGTCAGTAGACAGTAATGGGGGGACGGAATGTGTCTAGTGGGGGGAGTCAGGAGCCATCAGCCTCTATTAGACTCCGCCTCTCCTCCTCACATCATGTCATTGTGTGTTACCAGCCAAGAGATGTGACCAATCTCCCCCCACACACACTCTCTGGGGTCTCTCTTACATCTCAGTACAGGGGGCTTCACTCTCATCTTTATTAACAGACACCGGAGATGTCAAACCTGAGGAGGAAGAACAACTTGTGAGGATTAAAGAAGAGGAAGTCCCTATAGAGAGCCTCATCAGTGAGTAATATTTACATTAAATACATGAACTGCTTCCCTGCATGTCTCCTGCCTTGCCTTCTGATAAGAAAGTGATTTGTGTCAGTGATGGGAAGTTATCGTATCTGCCAGACACAGATCTCTGCATGTGTGTATGGTTGCTTAATGGAGCAGTTAGCTGACAAACTGCAGGTGGTGTCAAGCTACCCTGAATTGTGTGTGTGTGGGCAGTGAGAAAGGTGAAAGTGTTCCAGCTCACAGGGTAGCGTGGCAAGTGTTAGAAATGTGCGGTACTAACCTAACATCTTCACAACTAGGGATGCAGTGATACCAAGAGTACAAGTACTGATACTTTTCCTCAATTACTCGCTGATACCAATTACTGATACTTTTTTTAAATTTATTTTTCCTGTCATGTGACAGTATTTAAAAAAAAACAAAAAACAATGCAGACTAATGATTTTAGGACAGGGGTGGAGTGCCAGAGCTTGCTCCTTCCTACAACCGATGCGACCCTGTGAGCTTTGTTACTGACGCTAAGCTGTAGAGGACTACAAATCCCAGCAATACATTATACAGTAATGCAGAATACTATCGAGCTACATACTCTGTGTTGTTCACCAAGGCTGTGCCATGTCTCAGAAGGCTGTGCAGGGTATGACTCTGGGCTGTGCGGGGTCTTGCCAGGGCTGTGCAGCGACACAAAGGCTGTGTGCAGGTCTCACTAGGGCTGTGTGGTGTCACCAGGACAGCGTGCAGGTCTCACTAGGGCTGTGTGGTGTCACCAGGTCAGCGTGCAGGTCTCACTAGGAATGTGTGGTGTCACCAGGACAGCGTGCAGGTCTCACTAGGACTGTGTGGTGTCACCAGGACAGCGTGCAGGTCTCACTAGGGCTGTGTGGTGTCACCAGGACAGCGTGCAGGTCTCACTAGGGCTGTGCGGTGTCACCAGGACAGCGTGCAGGTCTCACTAGGGCTGTGTGGTGTCACCAGGACAGCGTGCAGGTCTCACTAGGGCTGTGCGGTGTCACCAGGACAGCGTGCGGGTCTCACTATGGATGCGTGGTGTCAACAGGACAGCGTGCAGGTCTCACTAGGAATGCGTGGTGTCAACAGGACAGCGTGCAGGTCTCACTAAGACTTTGTGTTGTCACCAGGACAGCGTGCAGGTCTCACTAAGACTGTGTGTTGTCACCAGGACAGCGTGCAGGTCTCACTAGGGCTGTGCGGTGTCACCAGGACAGCGTGCAGGTCTCACTAGGGCTGTGCGGTGTCACCAGGACAGCGTGCAGGTCTCACTAGGGCTGTGCGGTGTCACCAGGACAGCGTGCAGGTCTCACTAGGGCTGTGCGGTGTCACCAGGACAGCGTGCAGGTCTCACTAGGGCTGTGCGGTGTCACCAGGACAGCGTGCAGGTCTCACTAGGGCTGTGCGGTGTCACCAGGACAGCGTGCAGGTCTCACTAGGGCTGTGCGGTGTCACCAGGACAGCGTGCAGGTCTCACTAGGGCTGTGCGGTGTCACCAGGACAGCGTGCAGGTCTCACTAGGGCTGTGCGGTGTCACCAGGACAGCGTGCAGGTCTCACTAGGGCTGTGCGGTGTCACCAGGACAGCGTGCAGGTCTCACTAGGGCTGTGCGGTGTCACCAGGACAGCGTGCAGGTCTCACTAGGGCTGTGCGGTGTCACCAGGACAGCGTGCAGGTCTCACTAGGGCTGTGCGGTGTCACCAGGACAGCGTGCAGGTCTCACTAGGGCTGTGCGGTGTCACCAGGACAGCGTGCAGGTCTCACTAGGGCTGTGCGGTGTCACCAGGACAGCGTGCAGGTCTCACTAGGGCTGTGCGGTGTCACCAGGACAGCGTGCAGGTCTCACTAGGGCTGTGCGGTGTCACCAGGACAGCGTGCAGGTCTCACTAGGGCTGTGCGGTGTCACCAGGACAGCGTGCAGGTCTCACTAGGGCTGTGCGGTGTCACCAGGACAGCGTGCAGGTCTCACTAGGGCTGTGCGGTGTCACCAGGACAGCGTGCAGGTCTCACTAGGGCTGTGCGGTGTCACCAGGACAGCGTGCAGGTCTCACTAGGGCTGTGCGGTGTCACCAGGACAGCGTGCAGGTCTCACTAGGGCTGTGCGGTGTCACCAGGACAGCGTGCAGGTCTCACTAGGGCTGTGCGGTGTCACCAGGACAGCGTGCAGGTCTCACTAGGGCTGTGCGGTGTCACCAGGACAGCGTGCAGGTCTCACTAGGGCTGTGCGGTGTCACCAGGACAGCGTGCAGGTCTCACTAGGGCTGTGCGGTGTCACCAGGACAGCGTGCAGGTCTCACTAGGGCTGTGCGGTGTCACCAGGACAGCGTGCAGGTCTCACTAGGGCTGTGCGGTGTCACCAGGACAGCGTGCAGGTCTCACTAGGGCTGTGCGGTGTCACCAGGACAGCGTGCAGGTCTCACTAGGGCTGTGCGGTGTCACCAGGACAGCGTGCAGGTCTCACTAGGGCTGTGTGGTGTCATGTCACAGACATGACTTCAGAGGCATGATGGGATTTGTAGTTACCCCCTCTCCCATACAAGGCAGGACAGATGGGGAGAGGAGTAATTCCTCTGACTCATTAATGCAAATGTAAGATTGAGCTATTGAGGTCTGTAAACAGTTTAGATTAGGCTGGTGAATGAGTGAAAAGGAAAGCCTAGGGTTCGACTTTGCTACACATCCGTGTAGAGATGAAGCCACTCCCCCATGTTTTACCATTTATCTCTTCCTATTCCCCTTCTGTCTCCTATTTCCTCCAGATGAACAACACGTCATGAGTGATAAGAGCGAACTTCTGTCTTATGATCCCTCTACACCTCGGGGGAGTCTTCCTGATCACTTTCCTCCCATCCCCCATCATACAGTTTATAGGGATAGTCCGGATCCTGCAGAGAAGTGTTACATGTGTCCAGAGTGCGGAAAATGTTTCACCCGGAAGTCAACGCTTATGTCTCACCTGCGAAATCACACAGGCGAGAGGCCGTATTCCTGCTCCCAGTGCGGGAAAAGTTTTAACACAAATTCCCATCTTCACCGACATCAGAGAGTCCACACCGGGGAGAAGCCGTTTTTCTGTTCAGAGTGCGGGAAAAGTTTTACTACGAGTACAGCCCTTGTGAATCACAAGAGAACTCACACCGGGGAGAAGCCCTATTCGTGTTTGGAATGCGGGAAATGTTTTAGCGCCTCTTCAGCTCTTATTTATCACAAGAAGATTCACACAGGGGTAAAGCCGTATTCCTGTTCAGAATGTGGAAAATGTTTTTTTTACAAATTCAGCTGTTGTTTATCACAAGAGGAGAAGGCATGATGGAGAGAAGCCGTATTCATGTTCTGAATGCGGGAAATGTTTTATCGAGAGTTCAGCTCTCATTACTCACAAGAGATCTCACACGGGGGAGAAGCCCTATTAATGTTTGGAGTGCGGGAAAAGTTTTAGTATGAATTCAACTCTTGTTAATCACATGAGAACTCACACAGGGGAGAGGCCGTATTCATGTTCAGAATGTGGCAAATGTTTTACTCGGGGGTCCCGTCTTGAACTACATAAGAGAATTCACACGGGGGAGAAGCCCTATACGTGTTCGGAGTGCGGGAAATGTTTTAGCCAGCAGAGCAATCTTAAATTACACATAAGGGAAATGTTTCACCACGAGTACAGCTTTTGTAAATCACATGAGAACTCACACCGGGGAGAAGCCGTATTCATATTCTAAATGCAGCAATTGTTTTGCTACGCGCTCGGCTCTTGTTTCTCACGAGAGGACTCACACTGGAGAGAAGCCGTATTCATGTCAGGATTGCGGGAAATGCTTTAAGGCGAGCTCAGCTCTCGTCGCTCACAAGAGAACTCACACGGAGGAGAAGTCATAGTTAGGGGCCGGGAAATGTTGAAGCCGGGAATTAAGGAAAGACAGAAGTTGTATTTGTGATAAATATGAAAGAAGTTTTACTAATAAAGCAAATTTAGAAACACGCCTGATCACTCCCATTGATGTAATCATGAATGTCAATGATGTTATAATGGACCCCGTGCGGGAAAGGTCTTTGCTATAACAGTCCACACCAATGTTAAGGGGCAATTTTCACTTGGGCTCACACATTAATAGACTCGTTGTTAAGGCCGACCATTGAAATCTATGGGCTGCCGTCACACCAAAATGCCCCAACCTGTACCAGCCCGCCATCCCTTGTGTTCTGTTTTTAGAAGTTCTGGCCCTTATGTGACATCCTCCATGTTTCCGGAGATGGAGGCGGATGAAGGACGTTGTTTTGGCCTACTTGTTCGCCTGAAAAATCCATCTCAGTGTTATTCGTTGCGTCTCCTCTCTGCGCCTTGTTTAGTTTCATTTTAACAATTCTTTCAGATCAGAGGAAGGCAAACTCCGCCCCCCCATCAAATCCCATCACGCCCCTGTCTCTGGGAGTCAAGTCTGTGGCTCTCAGTCTTGCAATGCCTCATGGGACTTGTAGTGTCACCACAGCTGGAGGTCCGGAGTTGGCCTCCCCTGGTTTAGTTGGATGGTGAGGTACCGAGGTCGTTGGTGACGGTGAGAATGTTTAGCAGGATGACAGATATGACTTTCAGCTTCAGGAAACTTCGAGTGATCTGCAGGAGCGCAAAACTCCTCCCCCAAACTACGGGGGACATCATCGGGACAGTGCGGGGTCAGGACTTGGATGCTGGGGTCATTTGTCACAGGAAAGGTTCGTCTCCATTGCAAAGAGATACGTAGGAATACAAAGGGGTGATGGACTATAGGGGCCCATTAGTGTTAGGGTTACATGAGGGGCCACAGCTGGGATTAGAGGGAGAAAGACTGCTAAGGTCACAGAAAAGGTAAGTGTTGGGGTTACAGGAAGGGTTAGTGTTGGGGTTACAGGGAGGGTTAGTGTTGGGGTTATAGGGAGGGTTGTGTTGGGATTACAGGGAGGGTTGGTGTCGGGGTTACAGGGAGGGTCAGTGTTGTGGTTACAGAGAAGGTCAGTGTTGGAGTTACAGGGAGGGTCAGTGTCGGGGTTACAGGGAGAGTTAGTGTTGGGATTACAGGGAGGGTTGGTGTCGGGGTTACAGGGAGGGTCAGTGTTGCGGTTACAGGGAGGGTTAGTGTTGTGGTTACAGAGAAGGTTAGTGTTAGGGTTACAGGGAGGGTTAGTGTTAGGGTTATATAGAGGGTTAGTGTTAGGATTTCAGGGAGGGTTAGTGTTAGGGTTACAGGGAGGGTTAGTGTCGGTTTTACAGGGAGGGTTAGTGTTGGGGTTACAGGGAGGGTCAATGTTGCGGTTACAGGAAGGATTAGTGTTGGGGTTACAGGGAGGGTCAATGTTGCGGTTACAGGGAGGGTTAGTGTTGGGGTTACAGGGAAGGTCAGTGTTGGGGTTACAGGGAAGGTCAGTGTTGGGGTTACAGGGAAGGTCAGTGTTGGGGTTACAGGGAAGGTCAGTGTTGGGGTTACAGGGAAGGTCAGTGTTGGGGTTACAGGGAAGGTCAGTGTTGGGGTTACAGGGAGGGTCAATGTTGCGGTTACAGGAAGGATTAGTGTTGGGATTACAGGGAGGGTTAGTGTTGGGTTACAGGGAGGGTCAGTGTTGGGGTTACAGGAAGGATTAGTGTTGGGGTTACAGGAAGGATTAGTGTTGGGATTACAGGGAGTGTTAGTGTTGGGGTTACAGTGAAGGTCAGTGTTGGGATTACAGGGAAGGTTACTGTTGGGGTTACAGGGAGGGTTAGTGTTGGGGTTACAGGGAGGGTTAGTGTTTGGGTTACAGGGAGGGTCAGTGTTGGGGTTACAGGAAGGATTAGTGTTGGGATTACAGGGATGGTTAGTGTTGGGGTTACAGTGAGGGTCAGTGTTGGGATTACAGGGAAGGTTACTGTCGGGGTTACAGGGAGGGTCAGTGTTGCGGTTACAGGGAGGGTTAGTGTTGGGGTTACAGGGACGGGTTGTGTTGGGATTACAGGGAGGGTTGTTGTCGGGGTTATAGGGAGGGTTGGTTTCGGGGTTACAGGGAGGGTTGGTGTCGGGATTATAGGGAGGGTTGGTGTCAGGGTTACAGGGAGGATTAGTGTCGGGGTTACAGGGATGGTTGGTGTCGGGGTTACAGGGAGGGTTAGTGTTGGGGTTACAGGGAGGGTCAGTGTTGCGGTTACAGGGAGGGTTAGTGTTGGGGTTACAGGGAGGGTCAGTGTTGCGGTTACAGGGAGGGTTAGTGTTGGGGTTACAGGGAGGGTCAGTGTTGCGGTTACAGGGAGGGTTAGTGTTGGGGTTACAGGGAGGGTCAGTGTTGCGGTTACAGGGAGGGTTAGTGTTGGGGTTACAGGGAGGGTCAGTGTTGCGGTTACAGGGAGGGTTAGTGTTGGGGTTACAGGGAGGGTCAGTGTTGCGGTTACAGGGAGGGTTAGTGTTGGGGTTACAGGGAGGGTCAGTGTTGCGGTTACAGGGAGGGTTAGTGTTGGGGTTACAGGGAGGGTCAGTGTTGCGGTTACAGGGAGGGTTAGTGTTGGGGTTACAGGGAGGGTCAGTGTTGCGGTTACAGGGAGGGTTAGTGTTGGGGTTACAGGGAGGGTCAGTGTTGCGGTTACAGGGAGGGTTAGTGTTGGGGTTACAGGGAGGGTCAGTGTTGCGGTTACAGGGAGGGTTAGTGTTGGGGTTACAGGGAGGGTCAGTGTTGCGGTTACAGGGAGGGTTAGTGTTGGGGTTACAGGGAGGGTCAGTGTTGCGGTTACAGGGAGGGTTAGTGTTGGGGTTACAGGGAGGGTCAGTGTTGCGGTTACAGGGAGGGTTAGTGTTGGGGTTACAGGGAGGGTCAGTGTTGCGGTTACAGGGAGGGTTAGTGTTGGGGTTACAGGGAGGGTCAGTGTTGCGGTTACAGGGAGGGTTAGTGTTGGGGTTACAGGGAGGGTCAGTGTTGCGGTTACAGGGAGGGTTAGTGTTGGGGTTACAGGGAGGGTCAGTGTTGCGGTTACAGGGAGGGTTAGTGTTGGGGTTACAGGGAGGGTCAGTGTTGCGGTTACAGGGAGGGTTAGTGTTGGGGTTACAGGGAGGGTCAGTGTTGCGGTTACAGGGAGGGTTAGTGTTGGGGTTACAGGGAGGGTCAGTGTTGCGGTTACAGGGAGGGTTAGTGTTGGGGTTACAGGGAGGGTCAGTGTTGCGGTTACAGGGAGGGTTAGTGTTGGGGTTACAGGGAGGGTCAGTGTTGCGGTTACAGGGAGGGTTAGTGTTGGGGTTACAGGGAGGGTCAGTGTTGCGGTTACAGGGAGGGTTAGTGTTGGGGTTACAGGGAGGGTCAGTGTTGCGGTTACAGGGAGGGTTAGTGTTGGGGTTACAGGGAGGGTCAGTGTTGCGGTTACAGGGAGGGTTAGTGTTGGGGTTACAGGGAGGGTCAGTGTTGCGGTTACAGGGAGGGTTAGTGTTGGGGTTACAGGGAGGGTCAGTGTTGCGGTTACAGGGAGGGTTAGTGTTGGGGTTACAGGGAGGGTCAGTGTTGCGGTTACAGGGAGGGTTAGTGTTGGGGTTACAGGGAGGGTCAGTGTTGCGGTTACAGGGAGGGTTAGTGTTGGGGTTACAGGGAGGGTCAGTGTTGCGGTTACAGGGAGGGTTAGTGTTGGGGTTACAGGGAGGGTCAGTGTTGCGGTTACAGGGAGGGTTAGTGTTGGGGTTACAGGGAGGGTCAGTGTTGCGGTTACAGGGAGGGTTAGTGTTGGGGTTACAGGGAGGGTCAGTGTTGCGGTTACAGGGAGGGTTAGTGTTGGGGTTACAGGGAGGGTCAGTGTTGCGGTTACAGGGAGGGTTAGTGTTGGGGTTACAGGGAGGGTCAGTGTTGCGGTTACAGGGAGGGTTAGTGTTGGGGTTACAGGGAGGGTCAGTGTTGCGGTTACAGGGAGGGTTAGTGTTGGGGTTACAGGGAGGGTCAGTGTTGCGGTTACAGGGAGGGTTAGTGTTGGGGTTACAGGGAGGGTCAGTGTTGCGGTTACAGGGAGGGTTAGTGTTGGGGTTACAGGGAGGGTCAGTGTTGCGGTTACAGGGAGGGTTAGTGTTGGGGTTACAGGGAGGGTCAGTGTTGCGGTTACAGGGAGGGTTAGTGTTGGGGTTACAGGGAGGGTCAGTGTTGCGGTTACAGGGAGGGTTAGTGTTGGGGTTACAGGGAGGGTCAGTGTTGCGGTTACAGGGAGGGTTAGTGTTGGGGTTACAGGGAGGGTCAGTGTTGCGGTTACAGGGAGGGTTAGTGTTGGGGTTACAGGGAGGGTCAGTGTTGCGGTTACAGGGAGGGTTAGTGTTGGGGTTACAGGGAGGGTCAGTGTTGCGGTTACAGGGAGGGTTAGTGTTGGGGTTACAGGGAGGGTCAGTGTTGCGGTTACAGGGAGGGTTAGTGTTGGGGTTACAGGGAGGGTCAGTGTTGCGGTTACAGGGAGGGTTAGTGTTGGGGTTACAGGGAGGGTCAGTGTTGCGGTTACAGGGAGGGTTAGTGTTGGGGTTACAGGGAGGGTCAGTGTTGCGGTTACAGGGAGGGTTAGTGTTGGGGTTACAGGGAGGGTCAGTGTTGCGGTTACAGGGAGGGTTAGTGTTGGGGTTACAGGGAGGGTCAGTGTTGCGGTTACAGGGAGGGTTAGTGTTGGGGTTACAGGGAGGGTCAGTGTTGCGGTTACAGGGAGGGTTAGTGTTGGGGTTACAGGGAGGGTCAGTGTTGCGGTTACAGGGAGGGTTAGTGTTGGGGTTACAGGGATGGTTAGTGTTGGGGTTGCAGGCAGGGTTAGTGTTAAGGTTACAGGGAGGGTCAGTGTCGGGGTTACAGGGATGGTCAGTGTTGGGGTTACAGGAAGGGTAAGTGTTAAGGTTACAGGGAGGGTTAGTGTCGGGGTTACAGGGAGGGTT